GAAATGATATTTTAATTCTGTATTTTTGCCCGCCTTGCATAGTGGAATATTAACTCCAGAAGCAAGAACAGCAGCTGTAAAAAAAAAAAATAAAAGAACAGCATCCACCTCATCTCTACTGTATTCTTAGCATCCAGGAGTGGTGTGTCACTAGGAGACACCTGACAAATATTTACTGAGGGCAGAGATAGCTTGCTTATCAAACAGCTCCTGGCAGCCTGTCCTAAAAGTTGGGTCTCTCCAGTAGCCCTCTGCAACTTCCCTTTTTTGTCTTAGATGTTCCAAAGGGCTCCTGATGACAGGTCTCCTATAAGATGCGCATTCCTCTCTCCCAGGCCAGCTCCCACCCAAAGTACCCAGAAAACCACAGCCTTTTTGCCCTCAAAAAAGATAGCTGCTTCCTACAAGAGCTGAGCAGGTTTTAAAATTATTTTTCATGCCAGGCCTTAGGCCAAAACTCTTCATCAAATCAGGCATTTTCCAGCTGGCCTAGCACAGAAAGTCCTTCCCCACTAGGGCTGCAATCCATTGTCAGTAGATTTCCTGAGTAAAACTTTGTTCCCTCTATAAATATTTAGCAGGAACCTAAAATATTAATGTTCTCCCACGTACTCCAGGGAGAAAGCAAATTACCAGAGCCTCAGACTGTCTCCGATGACAGTCTTCTCAATAACGATCCACAAGCAGGTTCAGTGGCCCCCCCAGTTCCCCTTTCTGGTTCACTGGCCTTCTCTGCCGTATCAAACATCTTGTGCCTCCGTTAAGAGGAGGCTCCCTCCGGTAGCGGGTGAACCCCTGGCCCGTCATTCAGGAGGAGGGAATCCTTTTCATCAATTTCTTTGATCATTAACAGCTCACAGCTTCTCCTGTGGCAGGATGGTGCTGCCTTACCAGCACATTCCTGGATGCCAAGGTGAGGGGCACAGGTACCCCAGGTGGTCTGTCTCCATCCTCCTGGTCTCCTGACCCCTTTGGAGTCTTCCCTGGGCTTGGAAATACAGGGTCCAGCAGAATGCTAAGGAGGCAGGGCAGGTGGGCCAAGAAGTGGCTCCCCCACTCCCCTGGTGAGGGGAGCAGGAGGCAGGCAGCCTTGAGACTCAGAGATGAGAAGGTAGGCTTGCGTGCCTGATCATGCTGGCTGGAGCCACACTGAGGCAGATGCTTACTGACCATCAGTGCCCCCAGAGCTTACCTGGCAAGAATTCAGGCTCTAGTCTCGATCTCTGTGGCTAGCCGGCCAGGCCCAGGAATGCAGGGAAACATGAAATCTGGAAGGGGCTGAGGGCGGGGTCACTGCTTCCAGCCCTTGGCCACCCTTGAATTGTCCTCTTGAAAGAACTGCTGCTCTACTCTCGAGCCTCAGCGTGGCCTCTGCTCCTTGCTGGACCTTCACTTGGCGTTTACTCATCTCTCCTCTTTCCTGTCCCTTCTCCCTTCTTTTCCTCCAGTCCCCAGCCTTTGCTTGCTTCTGCAGACCACCTCCTGCCCTAAGTGTTGTTACAAAGTTTACCAATACACTGACAGAGCTGGTTTCTAGTGATTTTGGCCTCCACCCGGCAGGCAGCATGAAGCCAGAGGACCTGGAAACCCCTCCTTACAGAACTGGATAGGCCCAGCTTCTCACATGCCTTGTGCTGTAAGTTGAACTTGCAGTTGGCAACTAGCCGATTCCAAAGCTCCTATCTGTTCTTGAAGCTGCCTTGTTTCTATTTTGATTCTGCTAATCCAAACTGCAGTTTGGTGTTTCCACGGAAACAATCCAGTGATTGTTTGGCTTGCCAAGATGAACTGCGGGGGAGAGTACCAAATGACGTAAAACATTTTTAGTTTCTCAAATATCAATGTCTCCCCAAGAAGTCTTTGGTCCCAAGTTTTATTAAAATAAATGTTCTAGGTGAATAAAAAACTAGGCTCCTGTTATTCCTCCAGCTCAATCCCTAGAGACTGGCTCCCCAAACCTCTGCTCTGCGCAGATGAGCACGCTTCTGCCTGCCGCCATGAGGCATATGACAGAGGCAGGAAGGTGTCCCTTGGGCACCTTGGGGAGCCAGGGAGGCAGAGACAAGAGAAGGTATCACCAGGGAAATGACCATGTGGCCATCCCAGCTACTCTGCAAGTGGCATGCCAGAGGCTCAGGGCTCACCTGCTTTACCCAACAGCTGTTTCTACAGTGAGGAAAAGCTCCTCCTTTAAGGAGTCCAGGCTGGATTAGTTCTTTGGTAAATCTGAATTTTCACACAAAGGCTTTGCCAAGCTAGAGGTATACTTGTCTATCCAACCAGGAGAATCTAAAGCCTCCCTTCTGCCCCACCCCTAAGCCAGGCTTGGCTCTCATTCCCAAGTGCCATAGTCTATGTTGCAGGCAGAAAAAAAGTCCTCTCATTTCAGTCTTATAGGGTTAGCACCGGCTCTCTGCTCCCAGCAGCCACCCCCTCTGCAAAGCCTCTCCAGGGAGAACTAAGTGCTGAGAAACAGCTCTGTGAGACCTAGAGCTTCTGGCCCTGAGGGTTCAGCACTATCAGGGAAGTGTGAGCCACTAGTGAGGGTCCTGCCGAGCCTCCCGTGTCAGTCTTGGACCTGCTGCAGTTCCCAGAAACTGTGAAGGTCACCTCTGGGCAGGAATCTGGTGAGGGATGCCCACGGCTTGTTGGTGGAGGTGAAGGTTTTAAAAAACAACTCTAATTTCTTCTTTCTGCAGAAGTGATTCAGGTCCACTGCAGATAAACTGAAAAACAGACAAAAAAGACTAAAACCCTTCTTGTCCTCCTTGGTAACAATGTCACAAACTTGGGATCAACTGCATTAAAAAAAAATTTTGTAAATTTTGGAATAAATTCAGATTTACAGGAAAGGTACAAAGATAGTAAGTTCAAATATATCCTTCACTTAGCTTCTCTTAAAGTTAACATCTTGCATAACTGTGGTATACGTGTCAAAACTAAGAAACTAACATAAACATATTAAGAACTAAACTTGAGCTTGTATTTGATCCGTTTTTCCATGAATGTCCCCTTTCCATTCCAGGATGCAATCTAGGACACCTCACTGCATTCAGTCATTGTGTCTCCTTAGTGTCTGCTGCTGTGTGACAGATTTTGAGTTTTTTCCTTGTTTTCCTGACATTGACAATCTAGGGTACTGGCCAGGCATCCTGGAGAATACCCCCCAATCTGGGTTTAAAATGAAGCTCCCATCTCGTTGCATCCTGTCAGGGGTGGGTGACGGGCACAGGACAGCATGGGTGGGATGGACCTTCATCACTTGGTTAAGTGGTGTCTGCCAGGCTTGTCCATGTCTCTACCCCAGCTCTCTCCCTTGAAAAGTGACTTACTAAGTCCAGCTCACTCTCCGGGGGTAGTGATGGGCAGAGACCAGGGAGGATAGGGGTTACGCCTCACCTCCTCTGTGGGAGAGGATCCACATCAATAAATATTGTTTGGAACTCACTGTTGGGAGACCTGGTGTTCTGGATAGCAAGTCGCCTGACATGTCTCCATCCAGACAGCCCCTTCTCCTGAGTGCGGCAGCCAAGGGGCTGTAGGCATTTCTTGTCTGCTCCTGTCCCTCCGGCTCAGGGGCTAAAAAGTGAATCCCAACTCCACCATCTGCGAGTGTTTATTATCCACTGCAGGGACTGTCAGGGGGCTGTCAGGAGCCTCTGGTTAGCCACTCTGCCCTTCACCCGGCAGTGGAGGCCTGTTCCTTGAAGTGGCCGGAGGCTAATTCTCAGGGTCAGGCAGGTGCACCACTAAGAACTAGGTGCAAAGTCTCCACCTGTGGGGCCCAGATTAATCTCTGGACCTGTGGTGGTGATGGGGTGTAGCCAGCCCTGCAGCCTGCCTCATGCTGGGTCACTAGCCTAAAATACGGCCTCGCGGGGGTCATCAGCCCCCGGGCCTTCCTCTTTGAGTTTTATGTCTTAACAAACAGTTCTATACTAGCCTTGTCACCCCCATTCTCCCCTATGAGCCAAGGAGGTGGGCTCAGTTTCTGGGAGATATCATACCTTGCTCAACAGTTTATTAGGCTTCCTGAAAGAATATCATGGTTTTGAGAGATGGGTCCAAATAATCCCTGATGGTGTCCTTTCTCTCAAGTGGTGGGGCTGGAGCCAGCCCTGCTGAGCTTCTGCTGCCATGCTGACCTCAGAGGTCAGTGGCTCAGCCCCTCCCTGCCCCTGCCATCTTATCCCAGCACAGTCTTTGTCATGGGAACCACCTGTGGCCTCCTGGGGGTCCAGTCCTGGAATGGGATGGATGAGGTTCAGGTATGAAGTGAATGAGCAGGACCTGTGCTCATCCCTTCCTTCCCCGCCCCCTCAGCTGAGGGCCCAGATGTCTGATGTGGGTGTATGGTTGGCTGGCCTCACAGGAATGTCCTGCCAGAAGGGTACCAGGGATGCTGCCAGCTCCCTGGACACAAGTAGGAGGCCTCTGATCTGGGCAGGGGCAAGGATGGATGGACTGAGGGTCTGGCCATGAGGAGGGCATGATGCCTGTCAGGGGACAGGCAGCCGTGTGTGTGGCATGTGCAAATGTGGCAGAGGGCCTGGGGCCAAGGACCCTCTTGAGGACAGTTCCTCCACTGAGCAGGCTTGGGATGGGCTGGTCCCAGGGGATCAGAAAGCCCACACTGCTTGTGGAACCTGTACGTTTTCAGGGGCCCATAGAAAAAAAACATCAAGAGACACAGCAGAGGCCCACGACCTGCCTTGGGTACTGTGTATATTGAACAGCAATCCAAAAAACAGTCAAGATGTTATAAAAAAAAAAAAGTGAAAAAAGAAACATTTTAAAGCAACAGAGTTAAAAAACAAAAGGAAAACAACCAAAAAACTGGGCTGTCAGCTGAAAAAGGTACACCACTAGAAGTTAAAAAGTCATGGTAATTCAGATTCTGCTAAGCCTTTGAAGTGGCCCCTGATGATTGTGACTAACCTGCACAGACATCCTAACATTAGTTTCCTACTGTAAAGAATCAAAGCTGAGGTCAACTGTCCTTACTCAATTTGGTATTTAAAAGAGGTCATCAAATTGTAGTCCTCTTCCAAGTCCAGAACAGTCTCCACGATATTGTGGTCATCGAAAGCCTGCTTGAGGCTGCCAGAGTCTACGTCCGGGGCCTTCTGAGGGCTCTCGTCCACCGGCAGGGCCCAGGCTTCCTCCTTGAAAGGCAAACCTTCACAGTGGCCACACACACGGTTCAACTCGTTTTCAAATTCTAGTTTACCAGCCAATTCTTCAATAGTTCGGATGCTTGTATGGTCTTAAAAATAAAAACATTCAGCATTAGAAGTCCAGTGGGAGAATTCTGAAGATGTTTTGGGCAGAAGTTAAAAACTACAAGTGGGCGGCCATCTCCTGGGAGCGGGCAAAGCCGGTGTTCCGGACCCAGGACTGGCAGGCTGTCACACTGTAACGTGAGCTTGGCACCCCCTTTCCAGTGCAGGTATTTACTGAGTCCCAGGTATCTATTGGTCTCCAAGCAGGGTGTAAGTGGGAGGATACAGAGATGCCTGTGCTTATTCTGGCTCTTGGGGAACTATTCCCTGACTTGAGGACGCAAGACACTGTGTGGGGTCTTTTGAATAAGTAAAATGCTGCCTATTGGGATTTCCCTGACGGCCCAGTGGTTAAGACTTCATAACCTCCACTGAACGGGGTGTGGGTTCGATCCCTGATCAGAGAACAAAGGTCTAACCTGGTCAGGTGGCACTGGTGATAAAGAACCCCCCTGCCAATGTGGGAGAGATAAGACATGTGGATTGGATCCCTGGGTCAGGAATATCCCCTGGAGGAGAGCATGGCAATCCACTCCAGTATCCTTGCCTGGAGAAACCCATGGAGAGAGGGGCCTGGCAGGCTATAGTATGTGGGGTGGCAAAGAGTTGGACATGGTCAAAGCGATTGAGCATAGCACATAGCACAGAGCACCATGCACCACAGCCAAGAGAGGAGGAAAATGCTTCCTGTAGATGGCAGGGGCCATGGAAGGAGGTAAGCAGAGGCAGTGATGATTTCCGTTCACCTACTGGGACCATGGGAGGAGATTCAGGTCACTAAAGCAATGGCAGGGATCTTGCTTTGTGACCCAGGGCACGTACCACCCCTCACCAGACCTCCTCCTCTGCTGCCCCATAACCCCGTGACCCTTCAGGGCCACAGCTTTGGGCTGCTCCCAAGGCTATGTATCTCTTAATTAGGAGCTGTCTGGCCACTGTGCATTGTGTAAAAATAGGGCGCATGAAGTTCACATGCAGAACATACAGATGTGTGTGTAGCAAAAGTGTCTACGCCAGGATATACCACCCTGCCTTAACAGTGGTTGCCTTTGTGGTGGATGGCAGAATTAAAGGGGAGCTCTGGGCTTCTAACTTTTCTCTTAATCTTGTGTTACCACCACCCACCCGAGCTAGACTACTCCCCCTCTTCATCTCTGCCTATCTTCTGTTTCCGTCACAAATAAACTCATCCACCAACAGCGGCTGTGGTCCTTGGCTTCCGGGGATTCACTCTAACTGTACATTTATGAAATGACTTGATGGATGTGACTCCTCCAGGCTATCAGCTCCATGAAGGCTCTCTGCATGGAGCCTGCTGTGAACCAAACAAATCTACCAAGCCAAGGGAAGAGACGTGTTTTTTATAAGACACTTGCTGACTTGGGGGCCTGGGTGAAGGATCTATCCTTTCAGGGAGAGGATGGAGCAGCCCTCTGAACTCACCAATCATATCAAGCAGATCCTTTGTGACCTCTTGGCTGGAACCGAGTGGGATGCTTGGGTCAACTTTCAAATCCTTCTCTGTATCATTCCTGCAGCCCCGGGGAGAAAAGAAAAAGGCAGAGGATTAGGTCCTCTTTCAAGAAAGTATCTATCGGAGGTGAACTCAGTGTTAGATAATCTTAAAGACAAACATTAGTCCTTTAAATTGTCATTTATGTTGTGATTCGAAAACTGGGAACCACTAAGTCAGTGAAGTTGACTAAAAGCATTCTAATGCCCATTAATGTCTGTGAATAAGAGCACAGATATTAGTAATACTGAAACAATTAAATGGCTTCTTCAGTCTCTCCTTACAGGGCAGCCAAGATGACAGGACCTGGAAATTTCAGGCCACATGGTCCTCCTTGCTAAGACTTAGCTCCCCCAGTGAGTGAAGTCCCTCAGTGGTGCCCAACTCTTTGCGACCCCATGGACTGTAGCCTACCAAGGTCCTCTGTCCATGGGATTTTCCAGGCAAGAATACTGGAGTGGGTTACCATTTCCTTCTTCAGTAGAGCCCCCAAGGGGAGGGAAAATCAGTGTTACTGACCCAGCTTAGGATTTTCAACAATTCCACCCACCCCCCATTGGAAATCCCCCTAATTGTAACTGTTAAACCCACGAGATTGGAATCACCTTAGACTGTCTTTTCTCCAGTTCTCCCCATCTCCTGTTGCTCGCCAAAACTGTCTTTCGGGTGCCAAAATGGAGGAACGCATCACGATGTTTTCCTTGCTGCTCAGAGGTTTTCTTTTGGGGCAGAGCGCCTGGGGCTTTGCATTCACGGGGGCATGGTTTGGTGCAAAGGCCACGTTCTCGTTCTCCGGAGCGCCAGGGACGGGAGAGAATGGAGCCGCAGAGGAGCAGCCTACCAGCGGGTGCCTCCGGCAGAGGAGCCGGTGCACGGGGAGGGGGAAGGAGAGCGGGGCGGCGTCCAGCTCCACCCGCGGGCGGCCCGAGCACTCCCGGGAATGGCTGACTCCTTCAAAGGCCCGGTCGATGGCTGCAGTCAGCTCCTTTCTGCATCTCCTCAGTTTCTCAGACATCTTCCCTACAAGCGACCTTTATTATATAATACACTGGAAACGCACAGAACAATGTGAGAATATCGGTACAGATAAGGTTGTAAACCGCCCACGAAGGGGTATTTATCACAATTTCCTTAAGTTTGAGCTACGCCACAGGTCAGAGAGCCGAGAAACCCACTCTCGGGAGATTTTCTCCTCGTGGGAACAGCTGCGTCTGCACTTCTCCAACGGGGAGGGAGGAACCAGTGATCGATCGAGCCCGGCCCTCCTCCCCGCCTCCTGGCCACCCCCACTCTGCTCTCAGGCCCCACCCCGTGGCCGCCCAGGGCAGAGACCCATGGCTGCGTCCTCACCCATCCGCCAGAGAAACCCATCAGCCGAAGAAACCGTTGGGTTGGGTCTTCTTGCGCTCTCATCAGCTGATCGCGCGTGTCCGCACCGGACAAGCCCAACCCCCACGGCTCGGGTTAAAGGTCAGACAAGGGACGCATGGATGGCCTCGTTTTTTGAACCCACGCAGCGTGACGGGGAAACAGAGGGCCCACGCACGCACGCACGCAAGGGACAGCGACAATGGCCGTGAAGGTACGGCCAGGGGGATGGAGGTGGGGGGAAGGGTGGGGCCATCAGACCAGGGGCGGGGATCTCACTTCTAACCAAAGTCCCCGGCAGAACAGGAGCCCTTTCCAAGCCCAGGAAAGTTCCTATTCTGATGCCAACACGGAGAGAAAGGCTGCAGACCAGGTACCCAGCAGTGTCCTGTCCTGATATTTAAGTGGGATCTAATAGAAGTGCCACATGATATCCAACTGTCTCAATTCATCAAGGATGCTGGGGAACATAACAGAACTGCTAGGTTCCACAGGAGACTGAAGGTTGGGAAACTCCAACACCAAATATCATTAGGGAGAAGGAAGCTGGAAATTCCAAGGTGACTCAAAGGGAAACAGAAAAGGGCATCAGTGGCTACTTTTTAGGCTATTATAAACCCATCTCAGTGCACAGCAAGGGAAAAGGGGACGACATCAAGTTTACTTGAGGTTGATTTACTGTGGGTAGACTACTGGGAGGACCAGTAACCAGCACCAGAATCCGAAATCCAGGAGGGCAGGGCAGCCTGTGGCAGGTCTTCACGGCGGCCCCAAACTCAATGACAGTATGTTCCTCTCCACTCTTTGGAATCGGTCTGACATTCTCCACTGTGTGCTCCCCACCGCCAACCCCAACTCTGCAGCTCTACCCGTTTTACAGAAAATTTTTACCACCTGTATTAAAAAAAAATAATTCAGCCTCTTGACATAACCCTTCTGAGCAAACCGGGTCTTTTTTTTTTTCCTTCTGCTCATAAAAGAAGGAAATTTCCTCATCTGGTTTTTAGACGGAACACTAGCAGTCTTCAGTGTCAAAGGTGTTCTCCTGGGGGATGGCACTGGTGCTGTGGTGCAGGGTCACTGGGGCAGATCAGTTGGTGTCCATGCTGTAAGTCTCGTCATCCCCCGTGCCCTGCTGTGAGCTGCTTGGTCTTGCACCTCCATCAGAAGATCCAGGAAAACTGAGTGAAGGTGTCTTATGAAACTCATCGTCCCGACGCTGGTAAAACAGCACATAAGCTGCTTTCGTCTAAAACACAAGAGGCACAACGTCCATTCACAGGTTGGAACAATCACCCATTCCCCCCAGGCTTTGCTCTCTTTTCAAAACACACCACCCTCAGGGATCCGCCGTCTTGTCCTGTGTGCATCCACACACTGAAGTGATGGTGAAAACCGTACCACCTGAGGCTGGCTCATGCTGACCGTGCCCAGGGAGTGGCGAAAGGTAGCAGCCCTGTGACAGACTCAGGAGAGTCAAGCGTCTCATTTAGGAAGTGTCCCGGAAGGAATGGTAGTCCATTCTTTCTCTACCGCACTTAGCTCCCACTCTCCCAGCAGGATGACTCAATAACCAACTAGCCTGGGAGACTCTTCCCAGCTCTAATCCCTAAAGGTAAGAGTGGGAACCAGGTATGAGGGCCTACTCACCACTATCTGATCCTCACAGGCTAGGGACACATTGCTATCATCAAAGTAATACCACTTCCCGTTCAGTTTGTTCTTCGCGTACGCAGTGTCTGCCAAAGCAACAGAATATGCTAGTTGGTCATCAAGAGAGTTGATCTGGCTAGCTCAGCAGGCTGGCACTCAACAACTCCAAAACATGACACATAGCAAGAGTCTGAAATTAAAGGTAATTTACAGCTTGTGTCCTAACAACCGAAAAAGAGCTCGTCCTTAAAAAAAATAAGCTCTTCCCTTCTCAAAAAGGCTCTAAAAGGGTAAAAATGGAGCTGCTGGGGACTCAGACTTTAAACTGTAATTTTGGGGAAAACAGCTATGAGCACTAATTCAGAGTTGGGGGACCCATAAAAGGAGCTGATAACTTTTTAAGATTTAAGCAAAACAATAGTTGTCAAAAACATGCCAAGTTAAACACCCCCACTGTATCCAGGAATGGCTGTCTACTATTGTCTCTCACTGCCTCTGGAGCCTGTGGGGTAATCCCAGTGAGACATACACTGGGGGCTTGGGTTGGCAGAGTTGGGATATGAACAAGAAAACTTAAATCTATCTGTCTTTGCAACTCTGAGTCAAGAATCTGTGGCTCAGTAACAATTCCTCACACCAGTCCAAGTATTTTCCAGAGTGAACACTTCTGGTTTTGATTTTACACTTTCCGAGCAAGATATGTTTACAACAGCAGTCCCAGCAGTGATACCCGATTCGCTCCACTCAGACTCTCAGAAACAACTGAATCTGACGGAGATCTGGTTTCTGGTCTCAACCTGCTGTGTGGCTCTGGCAAGCTGTTTAACCATTCTTCACTGCAGCGCTTACTGCACCAAGCGGTGGTGAAGGGCACAGGACAAAGTACAGAGAAGGTGCCAAGGGCCTGTCCCTGCTGTCCATGCTTGGCAGAACAGTAACAACGAGAGCTCTCAATCATGGTGTTCCAACTGTGGACCCAATGTGGGTCTGCACACAACCAGCCTAACCTGGATAAGGAAACTGAAGCATATGGAAGCTAAGTAACCTGCCCAAGCAGTACATTTGTATGCTAAAAGAGTTAAAAATGAATACATGTGTCCAATGTGCATGAATACAGATATCAAAATTAATTTGCAGAGAAAAAAAAGTTAGAGATGAGTAAGTGCTATAGGATGTGGTATGATCACAGGTATTGCAAATAGCCAGTCTAGAAGAGTCCCAATTTTTAGACAGGCACAATTTTTCTTTCCCACCCGTCCTACAGCTAGTTGGTAGTCCTGTGACCAAGTTATAGCCAATGAGACGTATGTAGAGGAGTTGAGGGGGATTTCTGGGCAGTGTGCTTTTCAAAAGGAAAGGTCATGCCCTTTTTTCCCCTTCTTCTGATGGCCTGGAATGTAGACCTGAGGGCTGGAGAATGAGCAGCCATCCAAAGGCAGGAGGTGATATGGTAAGAATAGAGAGGCAGGAGAACAGACTTGGGCCAACAGGAAAAGCTTACCAGTACAGAAGAGAAGACTGGGGTTTGGGGCAGTTCATAATCCACTATGAGGGTAAATGGAACTGACACCTCCCATGGTGTCATCTCTTGGGGTCCTGACACTAGGGGGTAGTGGCAGGTGTCATGGTGCGGACGCAACAGAGGAGACACGAGGAGACCCAGCTCCTCACTTCAACATCACTAACACCTTTCCATAAACAAGTAACAAAATAGACAAGTAAAAGTATAAATGCAAAAGTAAACCTACACATTACAGAAATTTCGGAAAATAAAGTAGAACAAAGTAACAAAAAATAAAACGAACATTTTGGTCTCTCTCTTTCTAGGTTGTCCCCTCTCCTATCACAACTTGTCTTTTGTTTCAATGTACATAGTTGTGATACTACTTTCTATAATGATGCAATTTTGTGTAGCTGTTTTCCCTAAACACATCATGGGCATTTCCCCATGGTATTAATAATTTTATTTTGCAATGGCTGTGTGCTCTTCCATCAAGCAGATGGACAGTAGTGCCAGCTGCTGATCACCAATGCTGTTACTAATTTTCCACTAGTGAAGTGAAGTCGCTCAGTTGTGTCTGACTCTTTGCGACCCCATGGACTGTAGCCTATCAGGCTCCTCTGTCCATGGAATTTTCTAGGCAAGAGTACTGGAGTGGGGTGCCATATCCTTCTCCAGGGGATCTTCTCGACCCAGGGAGCAAACCTAGGTCTCCCGCATTGTGGGCAGAAGCTTTACGTCTGAGCCACCAGTATAAATAGGTAAATATCTTTGTACATGAAGCTTTTCCCCAAAGTCAAGTAATTTCAGTAGGACAGATTTACTGGAAGTGGATTATTGGATCAAAGGATATGAACCACCACCCTGCAACTCGAGGCCTGCAGGGCTGTGTAAGTTAAGTCCTTGGGGCAGTGGCTGGCACACAGGGAAAGGCTGGTGCCAGATGAGTGGCCAAGGGCATTTCAGCATCTCAGAAGGAAGCAGGTGCCAGTACTCACAGTGGCCAACCCCCATGGCTCCATAGTGATTGGACACGGCGATGAGGTCGTACACATACGGCCTCGCTGACGGGTCACAGACAAACTCCGACATGTTCAGACCTCTAAGCACAGAAAACAAAAAGAACTCTTCAGTACCTTAAACTGAGAGAAAGAGGTCGGAGCGATCTAGCCACCCCTTTCATGCAACAGACTAGAACACAGGAGGCCCTCAGAGACTAACTGCAGAAGGAACGGATGAAGAGTCCAGACAGAGGCGCCCTGGGGTCTTGCTCTGACCACTGACATGTTAGGCTGGAGAAGGGAAGGCTCCTGGGGAGCTCCAGCCTCTGACAAGATGGCAAGGAAGGGCTCTGGGCACAGACATGAGGACTGTTGCAACTTTGCAGAAATGGCTACTACTGTCAGAATCACAGTTAGAGCCATAAAAATGTAAGCTAAATACTAAAACAGGCCCCTCAAAGCATTTTTTCCGCTAATGTTTTATTTCTAAAA